CTGATGCAGAAACTTCCTCCTATGTATCCTCTTTAATTAATAATGAAGGGGCCCACACTTACATCTGGAAAATTCCTGATCCCAAGGAATCTCGGAGATGACGTGGACGTTCATATCACCAAGCCCTACCTTCAAACAATCAGTGAGATATTTGTATTAATGCATTCAGATCATGTTCAAATGACCAATCAATGTCAGTCTGGGAAACCCTAAACTTAGCATATTTTAAAATACTTTCTGTGAAGAGAAAATTCATCTTTTACTTTCAAGTCATCTAACTCAAGACACTCTGGACATAGTCATTGGAAATTTACAAATTTATTTCAGAAAACATGGCAAACTGGAGCCAAGGATTGACATAATAAAGTGTCTTCTACTCCAACATCTGATCATATTACAGGGCTGAAATGGTTAGAAAGGAGAGGAGACATCTGCATTTCTGAATGAATATAAGCTCTTCTTTGCCTCCTGATATCCTGAACATAGATGAATGGTGAGAATAAAACACAACCTGCTTTTAATCCCAATCCACTGTTACTATTTATTTATGTCAATATTTGCCATTTCTTCCTTTAAGCCTTGGTAGTACTCCCATCAGGTAAAGGTTGTATTATCTCCTATTAATGTATTGACCTTTCCCCCCCCTTCATATTATCATGAAACTTCTAGAATAGTTTTCCTATATTGTGCTTTGCTGAATATTTGTATCCCAAGGAAATACTAACAAATCTTTTTTAAAAAGATTTTATTTATGGGGTGGAGGGAGAGGAAGCATGGCGGGGGGGGGGAGGGACAAGCAGACCCCACGCTGAGCCGAGTCAATCCCACGACCCTGAGATCATGACCTGAGCCAAATAAAGTCAGAATCTCAACCGACTGAGCCACCCAGGTGCCACAAGTCTTTTATATAATATGTCTTACCCTCTAGTAAGTTTGGAAAACATGGCATAACACCCCTCTCCACCAAAGCCATGATTTTCATAAGTGTAATAAAAGGTGAGAGAAATCCTGTGATAAAAACACCTGTTTAATTCCAGGTTTCTTAAGCATATTTTGACCACAAAATACTTTGTGTATGTCTCAATAGCATCTCTAGAATACCAGTGTCTGGAATGCTGTCCTAAAACAAATTGCCTGTGCTTGCTGATTCCATTTTCTTCTTATTATCGTATTAAGTTCTGCAATCTCAGGGAATACCAGCAATCTCCAAAAAGTTAAATCTAGTTATTGATTTTTGTTTCCTTCAATGATTATTTCTTTTGACTTTTCTGAGGTCACCTCCACAATCAACAGCATACACATTTTTCAAACTCCTTACTGGGATTTCATAATTTTTTTTTTTTTTTAAGTAGGTTCTACCCCCAACGTGGGGCCCTAACTGCTCTGACTCACAATCCTGAGATCAATGATTGCATGCTCCACTGACTGAGCCAGCCAGGTGCCCTATAATGCTCTATCATTGTTATCAAATAGGTATACCAAGTTCTTTAACTTAAGAGTTTGGGAATTATGTGCATTTATAACACCCTCAGCAACTAGGACTTGGGCTTATACATAATATGTACTGAATAAATCTTGGAAGATTGGCTGGTTAATTCTAGAAACAGCCCAAGTCTTGTATCTCCCATGAAGCTTTCCTATGCTGTGGCCCATATTAAACTTCTTTTCCTGTCCCCTTCCTAGCACTTACTGTCTCTATAACTTACCTTGGTTCATGTTTGTAGATTTGTTTCATATGTGTATGAAGTTTCTCCTATCGAGGCTTGTGAGTGCTTAAAGGGGGAAAATCTGTGTTTCATGGATTTTTGTCTCCCAGATGGGTGAGAACATAATAGAAATTGGTTATATAAATTTAAATGGAAAGTAGCTGGAATGGTCTTACGACACTTTGCTTTATTATTATTGACATTAATCATACAATGCTACTATTCTAGTCTTTTATGCAGACAAAATTAAATGATATAAAATACATAATACACTTTGATCATTTTAACCATTCACAAAATACTGAATGATTGAAACTATGTTACATGTGTCTTTTACAAAGGAAAAACTGACTCCTATAATAACACACTCAGGTGAAATTTATCATTACATTTTGGGTGTTATACAATGTTAAATATGAATATATTCAAAAGAATTACTATTTATAGAACAAAATTGATATTTTACTATTAAAAATAGTAAAATGATAGTAAAATACTATTTAAAATAATGAAATGTAAATTATATTCAAATACATAAAGGAACTAACTCTCAACTGAATACTTATAAAAATATTTTTTAAGCAAAAGCTATGATCTACTCATTTACTTGGCAGTTACAAAAATATATATTCACCTGAAATGCTAATAAATTTGCTTGAGGCATTAGATACTCAAATTTAAATGTGTTTTCTAAAGCATTTTACCAACTTAGTATTCTTGATTTCATACAGTATATATACCTACAAGGTATTAGAATAGGTTTGCATTACACATCGTGTCATTTCAAGTAAAAGACACAAGTGACCATTAACACAAAAGAGACACTGTGAAGGCTTTCGAACCAAACACACCCAACACATCAATGAGGCCCACTGGCTCTGCCTTGTACAAAGTAAAGTCTCAAACATATTTGTGGAGTGAATACATGAATGGATGACATTGCTTCTGTTATTTGCACACAAAATTATCCAAAGCTTTCTATTTCTAGTAGAAATATCATTTGAAAATTCAGTAACTATTCTTCACCAGCTACTTCTTCTGGATGGCCAAGTTAGCTAAACTGACTCCAGACTAAGTAGGACATTACTGTCAGTGATCAGAAGAAGGCCTACCAGGTATGCCTTACCGTGTACAAATCTGATGTCTGTAGAACGAACAGTCCATATATTGAACAACCCCATATTTCATCTCTTCATCTAAAACATGAGAATCTAAGTAATTTCAATAATGTATTATCACAGAAACAAAAAGTAGCAAATATATGTATACAGAAACATATATAGAGATATAGGTATCTCTACCTCTATCTATCTTAGTAGACTTCAGATGTCTCTTCTCAGTGAGAAAAGCAAGCTATCCTGAGCGAAGAAGGCCATATGTCTATGGAACAACAGCTAGAGAATGCATAGGCCATACTTTTACAATCTTCCATGTGTGCACAACGTGGCGATATGAATGCTGAGATCACTGTTAAAAGCAAAAGGCTTGAAGTAGTAAAAAAAATTTTTAAACCAAAGACTAACTGTGATAACAATTACAGAATTACAGCACCTAGGAAGACTGCGACCACTATATGTAAAAGGAATTACCCTGAGCCCATTCTTGGCCCAGACTCCGCTCATAACTTCCCCCCACCTCTTCTGCCTCATGTAGGGTGAAACTTTTCTGAGGCTTATCACTAAAACTTCAAAAATCTGATAGCGTACAGAATATTTTTCTTAATCAAACTTCAGATCATTCTAGACCATTTCAAAAGCTTTTGCCTTTATTCCGAAGTAGAACAACTGACAATTCATTCAGCAAATTGGTATGCATGTTTATTTATGTGTGTGTGTGTGTGTGTAGGTATATATTCAAAAGAATTGTGTAGGTATATGCACACACACACACACACACACACGTTAATGAAATAACTACCACTGGCTTCAGGAAAGTAATTAAACTATAATTTAGTATGTTAATTTACTTAAAAAGGAGTCTTTAAGAATTAAACATAGTTTCTAAAAATTCAGAAGCAATTTAATCACATACAAAATATTAGTTTCCATATTAGTAAATACCACTAGTGAAGAAAATCTAAAAATAACCTTAAAAGTAAAATGTAAAGTAAAATGACTTAAAGTAGGGTTATTTATTTTAAACTTCAATATTATGTTTTTTTTTTAAATACAAGTGAATAAAAATATGCCCTTGTAACCTGCCCTAATTCATAGGAAAAGATCTATATGAACTAATCAAGGAATACTTTAGTACTTTAAATACAAATACATTATTTTCAAATACTTAGAGTACCTAACTCTCAACTAAATGCTTCCACGTCCTTAAATATTATTTTTTTCCTAAAAATTGTATGTGCACAGAGGGCTGAAAATAGTTTTTCTTCCTTTTTTTAAAGATTTTATTTTTAAAGTAATCTCTACACCTAACGTGGGGTTTGAACTCACAATCCCGAGGTCAAGAGTCACATACTTTACCAACTGAGCCAGCCAGGTGCCCCCAAAATAGTTTATTTTCTTAAATTAGTTAATATGCCCCTCAGGATTTTTTTTTTTTTTTACCTATTCATTATCTTGGCTTTAATAGTTAGTACCAAGGATAATTTCATTTCATACTGAACTTAGGTTAACTATCACAAAATTTAAATCAATAGAGTCAGAACCAGTATCATTACAATATCATATATATTATAATATCATATGAAATTAGCCCGTTTTTAAATTAAACATTGTTGCTGCAAGAAGAGTGACCACTGAATGCATAGGGAATCTAAGCCACTGAAAGAATGTGATTTAAAGAGACAGAAAATAGTGTGAGACTTCTAAGATTAGGATATTGGTTCATAAAATAAAGCCTACCTTCTAAAGTCAACTTTATATAACCAATAAAGTAAAACTCGTACAGAAATTCTTTGTTTCTTTCTTTCTTGTTAAACAGTAACGGAAATAGATATAAAATTCTAGTCTCTTCAAATTGCTCATTCTGTTAATACTATATTAAGTTTTGTAATATTTAATATTAGATAACTTTATAAGATATGATGGAATACTTAAGATGTATTGACAATGGATTACTGGTTAGCAATTATTTTTGGGTTAGATCCCATGTTAAGAACCAAACTTTCTACTCATGACCTTCCCTTTTAGGGGAAGAGAGGCAAATGTCCAAACGCGGAACTCGGAAGAACTGCTGGTAGGCTTTAGCAATGTTTAAAGGAGTTATACAGGAGCACGTGAGCAGTTAGGTAGAGGAGTATGTGAACATTTAGGTAAACCCATTCTAAAAACTCAAGGCCGGTTAAATGTCTTGTCTTTATTCATTCATTCATCGGACATTTTTTATCGTTGCCACTGTTTTGGAATCATAGTCAAATTTTATAGGATATACTTTTTCAGAATTTCAAAACATATCTGAAACTGTTTATCTGCAATGATGAGGAATCTATTTTTTGAGATTGCAGTAGCGTTGCATTGCCTCAAAACTGAGCATCCAGAATGGTAAAATGTCTAAGAAATCCTAGGATTTTCACATATTAAAGACACTTTACATGTTTCCATTCATTTTTTCCTTCAATATAAAGTGCATAATTTAATGGCAACGAGTGTCACATAACTCCAGCTTTATTAACAACTAACTGGTAATAATATTACAACAGTTCTTCTATTAATAAGGAGAAGCAGCGTAATGTATGAAGAAGTCACAATGTATGTGACTAACTTGGGAGAATCACTGGGCTCTTCTTTGCTTCAGTTCCTCAACTGTGAAATGGGGGTGATGAAGAGAGTACCATCTCAAATCGCTGTGAGGATTTGTAGAGCAATAACAACAAAACAGGGGTAAAGCCCTTGGAGGTATTGCTTGGCACACAGTAATTACTTAAATGTTAGCTACAATTTTTATTTTAAGAAAAAAATGACAGTGACTGATGCTAATATAAATCATTACTAACTTTTGAGCATTTAATAAGTGCCAAGCACTCTGATAGATGGTACACTTACACTACATTTAACCCTTAAAATATTAACCACATCCTATTATATAGAGATTAGATCCTTAAAGATATGCTATAATTTATACATACCATAATAGCAGATAATTTCCCCCATGAAACATAGCAAAGTATGACTGAAGCGTTTAAGTGACCACTTCATCCTTCTAATGAGAAATAAGGCTTCCAGAATGGTGATTAGAAAATAGTAATGACATTATGAAAAATCCTTGCTAGTTGATCAGTTCTGCTCCCTCATTAGCCTGCATTGAATGTCATCAATTTTTCAGTATGGGAAATTCACAAAATACTAATGTCATGGACCTTCAGGGTCAGCTGTTAATAATATCAAGAATGTTAAATCCCTACACGTCAATATAGGTATTTGTGTTAAGGTCCTATCTTCACTAAATTTGAAGTGTTCAACTTTTTCTTTGAAAACTTTGGAGTGTGTTTCTTTATGTCTCATTATGTATATGGACTTAATGCAAAAATCTTAAGTGTTTCTGTGCCAAAGAACAATTTTTATCAGCTTGACCAGTATATGAATACCTCACACATAATGTAACACAGGTTTTTTGTTTTTCAGTACACAACTGTTAGTGATGAAGGTTTTTAATAATCATTTGAAAAGCATTATCAAATTTCATAAATTAAAATTTAATAATGGTCTGTATACTTCAGTTATAAAAAGCATTTCACATACTAAATTAGCCTAAATCCATATAATTATCACAATCACAGTAAGGGCATTTTAACTGCTTTGAAAATTAAAGACCCAAAAATCAGTATGACCATATTCATTATGCTAACAAACAAAGTTCTTTTATCAACATAGAGATGGTAAGCATTACACATACTTTAGAATGAAAACAGAATTCACCTTGTGCTTCCATATGTTATCAAAGTCTTTAATAGTCCTTGTAAAGTTCAACAAATAAAGCTTTATTTTCATATGTTATACACAAACCTTGATAGAGAAATACTCAGCACGGTATATTCTATTACGAGTCTCAGTTCTCATATGAAAGCCTTCATAAAAGTAAAAATTTTAGGTATCTCTCTAAGTCAGAGGTTAAATTTTTAAATGGGCTTACGTTTCCTCCTTTACCCTTCTCTCCCCTCCTGTACCTCTCTGATCTCCACCGCTGCCCACCCCTGGCCACCTGCGGCCCAGCCCCAGTGCACACGGCCCAAGGGAAGCCAGTGACAGCACCTGGCTGCTGGAACTGTCCACAAGCACAAAGGATACCTAGAAGGGGATGGAAGAAAGTCTTGGTAGAAGCCTCCATCAGTTCTCTTCTCTTCTACAGAGAAATAAACCCTCAGGAGAAAAAGTAGAGCATGCTCTTCACCTTTCACACATGAGCTACCTTCTCTGATAGAGGTGAGGGACTGAATCCCTATGACAGCACCCAGCCTCTACTGTCTGTAACATTTCTGCGGGAGGATTTGGAAAGTGTGTCCAGGTGTCCTCAGTGAAAGGCTTCTTCAAGTGGAAACAGCCATGATTACATGATCCCATTTAGAGAAGATGAAAACAAACACAATAAAATAATTTGAATAAATGGGAGAGGGGGCACAATGGTTCATTTTTTTATCTCTGATTTTTTTTTTCATAAATTCCAGGGATGAATTTTACCCTAAGAATGAACAGTGAGTGTCAATACATACAGAGATGAGTTGGTGAAGCTTCGAATTGTCCGAATGACCTCCGATCCGTGGCCAGCACAAATATCCAAATACAGGTTGAACACTGGTTAGTTACTCCATGGTGAAGGATTTAGAGAAAAAAAAAAAATTGATTTCTTGAATGGAGAATGTGTAGCCAGCATGTCCTCTGTGTGGTGAGCAGAAGCTTCTGCTTGCCTGGTTCCTTGGGGAGTCTCTTCATTCTTCTCCCGCGGGGGGAGGCGGCTCACACAGCTTGTAGAGCCTAGAAAAGGCACGGAAGAGTGGGACACGGGCCTGGCACATTGCCATCACCTGAGATGTTGTTACCGGTAGGAAAAGGATATCGACAGCGATTTCCTGGCTCAGGAGTCATGATCATATTGCCCATTTTACTAAACATCACATATGAATTAGCAAACTCCAAAACCTCGGTCCTATTATTCAGAAAACACCAATGTCTCTTTGCTGCTCTAGAGGACTAGTGATGCCTTTTCCACACCAGCTGCTTCTGCTCTGGGCTGCCAACCCCGACTGCTCACCTTGCTGGCAGCAAAATCGATTCTCTGAATTCTAGGAGATGATATTATTATGCTAATTACCATCTTATCTATCATGATGAATTTGTAGCAAAACAGCACCTGCTCAGAGGGGTCTGCTGGCTTTCTGACCTGTTTTCGAAAGTTGCTTCACTTTGTACCATCTCTTCGGTGCAGTCAGTTACAAATAGGGCTGATGTGGCAGAGTCCTGAGGCCTGACTCCCAGGCACAATTATCTGGTATTTCCTGAGGAATACCTGCCCAGCTCTGCTCATCTTTCCTCTCACCTGTCAGCAGAATCAGGTGGAGATTCAAGTGGGTCAAGGCATCTACTTGAGCTGGTGGAGATGCCTGGAAGTGCTCCCTCTTGGCATCCCAGATCTAGATGTTTGAGGTCATTTAGCATTAAGGCAAGGGGTGGGGGACTGAAGGAGGATTGTATAAGCTCCAGGGCTCCACATTCTCCTGAATGGTTATATCCTAGCTCCAGAATGAAATGAAGGAGAACATAACAGCCAGTGACCAGACAGGGCAAACCTATATGGAAGGCACAGGCTGAGTGAAGATCAGCTGACTAAGCTGACCAGGTGTCAGACTACAGACATTCCCAGTCCTATAGTTCCATGGCCATGCTGACCCTACTTCAGAGCTTCGTCTGTGATCTAAACATCTTACGTACAGGTGTCAACTTTGCTCCTTTTAAAAAGTACTCCAAACTCAGGGGTAGCTGTGGTGATTCACTTCTTTTATAGATGAAATCGGACAAAGTTTACATGAGTTGTTGACAAACTCAGCAAATTATGTTTCCTCTTCCTTCCACATTTAATCCCATGCTAATTCTAAATCAAATGGGGGAAAAGACTGAAAAAGGGCGAATATTGAGTTAGAAACCTAGTTAACAAAATAAACTCTCCTAGTCTGGAAACACACAGAAAAAGTTACTGCCCTTTGGAGATTTGCAAAATGTATTTCAAGTCTGAAAGGTGCTTAATGCTCTACATGTCATCTCCATGGAAGAAAATGAATACTGAAATAAGGACATCTCACATCAGAAGAGTTTATTTCACCCTTCCCGGAGAAAAGAATACATTAAATTGAGCTGAAATAGTTGAAAGCTGCCTTTGCAGTTGAAAAATATGGTATTGCTTCAAAATGCATTCCCAGTGCCAGAATAATAGAATGATCGGAAAGTTCTTTTCCTCTTTAATTTCTATCCTTTCATTTCCCTGATAGCGCTGCCTAATGGGTGGAAAGACAGTGGCCTTACTCAGGTAGAACAGAAACAGTAAGCTGAGTGGCGACTGTCCTACCCCGTGAGATCTGGGCTGCGCCATGACAGTCCATTACCTTGCATTGTATGTTTCCACATAATGGAGCTAATGCCACTGGGTAGACGAGTCTTTGAAATGTCTGCCTTGCAAATTGGCAAAAAGGCTACTCCCTGTGATCACCTAATGAAATAATAGCTGTGGGTACTGCAGAGCTGGGCAGATTCAGCTTCTGTGAGGCTTCTTGGAAGTGACTCAGGGTTATTTCAGTTCAGACACATTTATAATGGAGATTGTGGGGCTTGGGGAATTTAGAACAGGCAGACGAAGTTGGGAAGCAAAATGTAATAGTTAAGAGTTGGACTTTTACCCTGCACTGAGGCATTTGTTTCTCTGGCAGCTAAACTGTTAGGTAATGGGAGGCCTGGTTTTGCCCAACATTTTAGGACCCTTGTCTTCTCATTCCACTCAGGCACACCCATGCCCCTGTATGAAAAGGTTTGTTCCTGGCTCCATTTTCTTCTTTGCCTGTTTGGGCTCTGGCAGCCATCTTTGAGCTGGTATTTCCAGCCCAATCCCCATCTGCTGGAAGTAGAACTTTCAAACTTCAATCTATAGATCATGCCCTTCATCTTTCTACATGGCATAAATAAAAGCTGTGTTGAGGGAGACCACAAAGCAAATGCCTCTTTTGAAGGCTAGAGCGTCAATAATCATCTGTCCCAAGGCAATTCTCCCTATCTTACAGATGAGAAAACGGTCTCAGAGAAAATAAATAACCTGGCTAAATAAGGCCACAAGCAGGAGCTGGGACTCAAAACCGTGTTTTTCACTTGTAACCACCACAGTATGCTGCTTCACAATTAAGCAAATAAAGAAAATCAAGCTTTCCTAGCACAGTGGTTTCCAGGTTTTGTGACACAATAGAAAATAAGACCAGTGTGTCATTACATCTAAAATGTAATATTTGGTTCTTGATGAAGATTAAGTTTATTCCTCTGAAGACGCAGCACATGAAGGTGAGGGGAAGACCATGGTTTGTACTGCTTACAAAGGCATCTCCACGTAGGTGTCCCATTGATCCTCAGTCCCGATATTACTGAGATGAGCTCATCCTCTTTTCCCTACACATGCTTATTTTTCTCAGTGACTAGAACCATTTGCCCCTTGTCATCCAAACCAAAGATTTGGTGGTCCTTCTAGAATCTTCCTTTTCCCTAACCTCCTTCATCCAATTAGTGTCCAAAGACTTAATTCTGTCTCCTAAATATCTCTTGAACCATCTCTCCTTTTCTTCCTCAATACCATGACAATCTCCTCTCAGGCTCCTGCCTTCAGTCTTTGCTGTCCTCAAACGGATCTTCTTAATGATGCCAGAGATAAATTTGAAATTTTAAATCTTCCAGACAGGAAGACTGCATTTTAATACCTCCCTAGTGTCTTCAAATGAAATCAGAGCTCTTCAGTATCCCATACACATCTCTTCCTGATCCAGCCCCTGCCTATGCCTCCAGCCTCACCTTTTATCATTCTTAAATCACATTCAACCACCAGTCATAGAGACCTGGTGTAGTTTCGGGAGTGAGGTGTGCTCTCCAGGCGTGGGTGTGATTGCATCAGCTGTGGAGGACATCTATTCCATGCCGATTGGGAGGAACGATTGGGCCAGGAACACTCTGCAGCCTCCCCTCTCTGTCCTTAGGCTGACTTTTGCGCCCCTTCTCTTTGTTCTCATGGCAATCTGTGCCTATGTCTGACCCAGTACTTACATTTTGGATACTGTTCTCATTTTATTCAATTGTCTCTCTACTGCACCCCATTGACTAGTGGAAGGGACCAAGTCTTTATTTCTAGCTTTTAACAGTGTCTGACATCTACAAACATATGGCAGAAATTCAACATACTGTCGCTGAGGTGAATTTTAAGTAGTGAAAGACAGTGAATGGGGAAAGGAAAACTATGGGAGAGATTGGTAAGGGATTTTAACCAAATATTATCTCAGGCAGAGATAGCAAACTCTATCTCCTCCATAAAGATATTTCCAGAAACATTACCCCAGACTTGTCTATGGGTGGCCTGTTCTTGAGAGCCAAATTTGTTCTTCAGTTTGCTGTCTTTGGGCAGGAATCCTGGTTCTCAGCTATCTCTGGCCCTCTGGGCCCTCGGCACTGTCTCTACACCACCTCATAGAGTGCTTCTCACATTCTGCCTTTTCTTCCAGTTAATGTTTTGTCATCTCATTTCTTTGCCTGAAAGGTCCTTAAGGGCTGGAATTGTTTCTATCTCGTGTTTATGTTCTCCATGGGGCATAGCAGGGTGCTGTGCATTTCTTAAGTCCTCAATAAATATTTGTAGAACGAGTGAAAGAATACATAAAACTAAATTTAAAAATTACTCTCAATTTCTCCCTTGGGATTGTTACTCTCTCGTAAAAAATGTCAACTCTACAGCTGGCACATTTTATTATGTCTCAGTTCAAGTGTTTTAAAACACAACCCAATAAAGAAAAAAGTGAGTTCATCGGGTTCTTTTCTTGTATTCAGCTTGCGTACTGGTTTATTGATCAGGACGCTGAAGTCTTATCTTAACCCCACTGTTTATTAGTGTTTATAAGCTCTAGCTAAGAAGACCTTGCTAAGCCATTATCTTGTTTTCTTATTGGGATTTTAACACTTCACTGGGTCTGTTATCCAAATATACCATGTCTGCTCAAGGTGTTAGAGAGAGAATGCCTATGTGAAATGATTCTTTAGCAACAGAAGGTCTTTCTAACCTAATCAACTATGAAAGATAACATTAATAAGACCTGAAGATTAAATAGAGTCAGAAGTCAGAACTAAAAATAAACACACTTAGAACACGAGGGCTCCATCCATTGTCAGGGGGAAAATGTGTTTTCCCTTTGGAAAGTACTTCCATTACCCACATACTTTTTTTAGAATGAAATATAACTTCATAAATGCTGCAGTCATCATTCTCACTCTGGTAACTGCTTTGTAAACAGAAACAAAGAGTGTCTTGTCTGTGACGGTGCTTGGAGGAGGATACTTTTTGTTAAAATGCCAACTGTATAAAAACAATCAAATGTAAAAGAAATCATTTAATATTGCCCCACTTCAAGAGAGATGGCTGCCTACCCTAATGCCACCGGAGAAATGAAATGAACATTTCTTTGATGGTTGTTCCCATGTTCATTTATTCCAAAGGTGGATTAGAGTCCCTTCTTTTGATGATATGTGAACTGGGAATATCTGGCATGATCACAAAGAAAAAGCTCATTCATTCATTTATTTATTCATACATTCTTGAAAGCCAATATTCAATGTCTACTATATAGCACTATGATGAGCAAGGAATAAAATAAAAAAAAAACATATTCGCTGCCTCCAAAGAATTCATATTCAGGTTGGGCAAGGAGTCATGGAATAATATTTTGTAACACAATATGATAAGGGCTATAACAGACCAATACAAGATGATAAGGGAGCACAAAGAGGAAGAAAATTCAGCCAAGACGTTGAAGAGAAAAGGACATCTAAGTTGGGTTTTGTGGTTAAGTAGGAGTTTTTCATACAGACACAGATGGGAAAAGCAATCATGCCCAAGGTAACGGCATGCGCAGGCATAGAAATAGAAATGAAAATGGCATTGTGTTGGTTCAGTACAGTTGGAATACAAATTTCAGTAGCACCTATGTAGACTGCAAAACAGAATACTGTCAAGACTTCTATTACCTCTCAGTTTGCTTCCCCTAAAATTCCGTTGAATTCAGAGACCATTTATGCCTAGTCACATTTAGCTACAGAGTGTTTACGAGGCCAATTTGCATGCTTACAATCGGTACTACACTAGGCATGTGCTGGGGCAGGTGTGTAAGCTGTGAGTGACCCTGCCTGGGAAATGGTGGCCAGCCCTTTGCAAAAGAGCAGACCTGGGGAGTCACTTACCTTGGAGCAGACTGTGGGGTTCGGTCTCTGATTCCCAAATTCTTTGCTGTGTTCTGAACTCTTGCTCCCTGAAAGAATAGAGAAGATCATTTTTTAGCTTTACATTGTATTAGCAATTATTTAACATACCATTAACATTTGAGAGCAGAGTATTTATTCCCACAATGTATTTAATGTCAAGAGAGACTAGATGAAGCAGAAGAGAGAAATCATCTGAGCATTTTCATAACTAATGCTTTTAAGAATCAAAATATGCTGATATATCGTTCCAAAGGATTGATATTTATTTCAGTAGCCATCCGAATCATTCAAAATAAATTTAAATTTATTCCTAGAAGCAAGCAATACTTTAGATGTTGAAAATAAGAAATAAGCAGGCTACAAATACCTGCTGTGTCCCCACTTTTGGGGAACAGAAATCACAGTTCTATCGCACTCATGCACCTGTTTTGTCCTTAGCTGAATAATTAGCTATTTTAAACTTCATAGTATTTATCAAGAAAATATTTTCTTAAATAGTTCTAAAGCAATTTCTGGACAAGGCATGGACATGTGGCTCTCTGAAATGTAAGAATTCTGTTACGAAGTTTAGAGTCCAAAGACAATGTACTTTAGCCATGAAAAAGTCTTCACAACCTGCCAAGTTCATGAATGATGCTATAATCATTGCTCAGTTCCTAATGGGAATTAGTTACTACAAAGAACCAAACACCAGGGTTTGGGGCTGAGAATAGATGAAGGAGAGTGGTTTAAAAAAAAACTCTGAAACTCTCTCTCCTGCTACCAAATTTCTGAGCTGTGGGAAGGGGAGAAAGAAAAGGAGAAAAGGAAGAAAGGAAAACAAAACCTATTTTCTCAAGTTAGACCAAATAAAGGAAAGCAAATAGGGAAAAGGGGTGGGGGTGGCAGAAAGACAGATGGGAAGGAATTTAGGAATCACAATTAAACAATAACTCTTTATTTTGTAGTACTTTTCGACTTAGAGAAAAGTTATAAAAGCAGAACAGAGAGTTCACATACCCAGCTATGTAACCTCCCTCTAACACTTACCCTACAGTATGATGACCAAAACCAGGGAAACAACCTTAGTACGATGCTGCAAGTCTTATTCAAATTTCACCATTTCCCACACTTGTGTCCCCTTTGTATTCCAGGATCCAATCCAGGATCCCCTACTGCATTTCGTTTTCTTGTCTCCTTGGTCCTCTGATCCATAGCACTTCCTCAGTTTCTCTTTGTCTTTCATGACCTTAATATTTTTGAGGAGTACTGGTCATTATTTTGCAGAATGTTTCTCAATTTGGGTTTGTCAGATCTTCCCTCATGATTAGATAGAGGACATGCATTTTGTGCTTTCTCGGTGCATGAGATCACTGACATTGACCGTTACATGATGTCTCTACGTCTTATCATCGGTGCCATGAACTTTCATCACTTGGTTCAAGTGGTGTCTGCCAGATTTTTCCACTGTAAAGTTCCTACTTTTCTTTTTGTAGTTAATAATTATGTTGGGGAAGATACTATGAGACTATGCACATACATTGTTTCTCTTCAAACTTTTGCTCACTGATTTTAGCCTCCATTGGTGTATCTTGTCTGCAAAAATGATACTGTAGCATTTAGGAAGGAATGCTTCTATAAGTAAGAGTTATCCCTTCTCCCCAAATCCATTATCTATTTATTCAAGCATTTATTTAAATCAGTATGTATTTATGCATATTTATTTTATTCTGAGTTATTATCCAATATTTCTATTATTAGTAATTTGTTGTTGTTGTTAAAATTGTTCCAGATTGGCTGCTAGGAACACCTTCAGGTGGCTTCTCATGTCCTCCTGAAAGAATCACAATCATTTTTGAATACTTGTTTATTTTTTGGTACCTCAAGATGTTCTAGGCTCATCTTCTCCATCTCAACTGGAAATTAACCACCTCTCCAAGGACCCTTGGTTCTTTTTAATGGAGAATTATATTTAGAACCCAAGATCTGGACACTGGGTACACTCATTGCTACTACGGGCATGTAACTGCTTCTAGGTCTTCTCAGGAGACAGGCTAGTTGACTAATGCCAACATACTCAAACATCTATAGTTATTTCTACGTCTATGTATATCTCTGTGTGTGTCCATCAGTTCAAACGGCTACCTCTGATTCAATCCCAGGCCATAGGGTTCATTCTGGATTACAGCCTTCTCCGTTTCCCTATTTTCAACTTCTTTTTCTGACAGAAAGAAACTTTATTCTCATTATTTACAATATATTTACTTATCTATTCAAGTCTAGTATACACATAAGCTAGTTTTATAATTTCTGAATCATATCCCTGTGAGAAACAGATTTACTATAGTATTTATGTATAATTCTTTTTGTCTTTAGTCTCATAATATTCCATTAAATAATCTAATGAAAGACTTTTGCTTTCTTAAAAGGTTGCAAATAAAACTGATGCTTATCATGCTGACCACAACTATTGGCATATTCCACAGTGAATTCAACTAATGCCAGGTACTTGCACTTTTTTAAAAAAGATTTCTTTATTTGAGAGAAAAAGAGAGAGAGAGGGAGAGAGAGTGCACATGCATGGAGGGACAGAGGGAGATGGAGAGAGAAACTGAAGCAGATACCACGCTAAGCGCAGAGCCTGATACAGGGCATGATCTCATGACCCTGAGATCATGACCTGAGCTGAAACCAAGAGTCAGATGCCTAACTGACTACACCACCCAGGTGCCCCGATACTTGCACTTTTATACCCTTGCTCATGTTGTTCCCTCTACCTAAATACCCTCTCTCTCATCTTTCCTACTGTCCACATCCCATTTATCCCCCCAGGCTCAAAGCAAATACCATCTTGGGCAATAATTAATTGGTCCTTCACTGTATCAGGTACTGTTTTAAGTACATTGAGTATATTGCTTCCTTTAATCCTCACACCACTATGGGGCAAGTGCTATTATTATCTTTGTTGTCATAATGAGGAAACTAAGTAACAGGGAGACTTGTAATCTTGTCCCAAATGATACAGATGGTTAACACTGGCCTGGGATTCAAACTGAGGTTGTTTGGCTCAAGAATCTATGCTATTAAGCTACTATCATATTACCACTTGCGGCATGAAGCCTTTTCCTGGTTATCCTAGTTAGAACTAATTCATTGCACTCACGTCATTCAGCATCTACTCTCTGCCTGTGCCACCAAAACAAAATATACTCAGTGTCCCAGCCATTGAGGGGCTCACTGTCTAATCACTCATTTATTCCCTGTCTTCTGTCCTAAAACACTGAGGTTGTCTATCACTCGTCTGTTGGTGCCTGTATCACCATGATTTGCCCCCACGTGGCCATCATGAGATGGCGCAAGAACCACATCTTCCTTAGTCTTTGATATTGGTGCCCAGTGTAATGCCCTGAGATTGGAGGTGAGGAGACAGAATTCTTTGAGATTCCAGTTTTATTAAAAAGGTCAAAACATTTTTGAGATCAGCTTCAACCAAATAATACTTGGAATGATTAATCTGCAGGACAGAAAACTTTGTTTCTAATGTCAATGAGAGCTTCTCCCTCAAGCCTTTTATTAATGAGATCCGTTGGTTATGTCAAAGTGCTGCCTAGGATTATGATGATCGTTATCAAAAAATTAGAAGGAGCATGGGACCCTTCCTCCTATCCTTCAGCTTTCCTTCCAACAACTCAACCAGGGCATTCGAAAAGTCTATGAAAAGTACGTATACAAAATCTGTACATGAAAACAATAGTGCAGCTAGAAGAATAAATCATGCTGAAGAGCTTCTTCTTCCTAAAAAGGAAACTAAAGATCTTAGAGAATCTTATTTATTAACCTGGCAAATATCCCAACCATTCAGTCTCTGGAGGGTTTTATCTAAATGGCTGACAGGCAAAGGGAACAGAAGAGTTAGATCTTTGATTCCCACCTGTGTTCTAACTACTCAGATCACAGGCAGGGGAGAGTTGGCTTGTAGAGTGGATCCCAGTCACTAATCCCACCACCTGTACCAGCTGAACCCTGGAGAGAGGATGAGCAACAGAAGGAGTACTGCAAAAATCTCTCTGTGCATCAGTTTAGCCCAGTTTCTCCAAAGACAGGGGCCCCAGGCTCTCTGACCGACCTTTCATGAAGAAGTCAGAAACCAGCTCTTTGTCTCCAAGCCACTTGGAGCAGAGAAACAAGTAACAAAGGAGGGAAGCTACCTATTCTAAATGTATTTATTTTAAAAATACGGAAGGGAGAAGTGATAACGAAAAACAGCGCAGTTTAGAAATCAACCATGATTTGATAAGAAACTTCATAACTCTTCAGTTGACTTAAGTTATATTTTATAAATATAGAATAATATATATTAATAATATATGTAAATATCATTATGTACATTGTATCTCAGAAAGGTTTGCACTGCTTAAACAAGTCATTAAGGCTTACATAATATGATTTTTACTTCCCATCTCTATTTTATCGATCTCTTTTTTCAGTTGTGAGAACTTAAAGGTTTTGATTATTGAAGTCCATAAAATATGACTGTATATCTAGCCAATCCATCATTATTCCTGTACTAGAGTATTCTAAAACAGACTAATAACAGTCTCTTAGTCTCGCCATAAACTATAATTTTGAGATGGCTCCTTCAAGTCTTATTGAAAACTTACTCTAACAGCAACAGAGTGAAACAGAATGTTTAGTCTCTTTCTGTATTTTTGGCATACCAAACCCAACCCTGATATGGATAATCACAAGTTTACCTTGATCTATCTTTTAAAACCAAATTTGTATATCCAGCCAAAAAATCGTTCCAAAATCTGCTGGCATTTGCATCTGTATTTGCCCTTTTCCAGCTGACCCATAGTACGTCCTGTGCTTCTTGTGGATCTAACCTTTACTTAGCAAATCCCTCCTGGACCTTGTGAGATCTTGGTTTTTAGTCTCCAGCCCCAAGGTTCCCAGCCTGAAGCTCCAATGTAGCTCTACTTGTTGCACCTTATTTCTGAATTGCAGACCCCAAACTGGTGCCAGCCTCATGACTGCTTCCATGGATTTTTTTTTTTTTTGACATTCTGTAGTATCATCTTGGGAGCAAACCCACAGGGATTTGTATGTTTGTGTAAGAGTTATACGCTAACTCTTGAGTAAACAAAGCAGTTTTAACTACCAAAGCGTATCTTGAAAACTAAGTCACTTGGGGTGCCTAGGTGGCACAGCTGGTTAAGCATCTCTTGGTTTCAGCTCAGATCCTGATCTCAGGGTTGTGGGATGGGCCCCAAGTTGAACTGAATCGGGCTTGAGCTCAGCGGGGTGTCTGCCTGAGACTCTCTCTCCTTCCCCCTTGGCCCCTCCCTCCGTGTGCTCTCCTTCTCTTTCTCTAAAATAAATAAATAAATCTTAAAAAAACAAAAACAAAAACAAACTAAGTCACTCACTAACACTGGGCAATTCAAACCAAGTGAGCATGTAGAGAGACTTGTTAAATCAATTTTCTGTGGTAACCCTGAGAAAATGTGGCAGAAGAAAATATAAAATTGATCTTTTCCAACTTATTTTGTGTTTCTACTAAGTTGTGTCTTTTCTTTTTCTTTTTTTTTTTAAGATTATTTATTTATTTATTTGAGAGAGAGAGAATGAGATGAGAACACATGAGAGGGGATAGGGTCAGAGGGCAAAGCAGACTCCCTGCCGAGCAGGGAGCCCGATGTGGGACTCAATCCAGGGACTCCAGGATCATGACCTGAGCCGAAGGCAGTCGCTTAACCAACTGAGCCACCCAGGCGCCCAAGTTGTGTCTTTTCTATTAGATTAAGTACATTTTCCGAATAATCGACAAATTAGAGGTTAGTGCATTTTTCTTATCTTTTAAAAGAATTTTAAGAGTTAAAAACCAAACTGTGACATTTAAAATACCATTGGGTATTATATCCAAAAGTTCCTTCTCTTGATAAGAAAAGTATATTCCCGGGCGCCTGGGTGGCTCAGATGGTTAAGCGTCTGCCTTCGGCTCAGGTCATGATCCCAGGGTCCTGGGATCGAGTCCCGCATCGGGCTCCCTGCTAGGTGGGGAGCCTACTTCTCCCTCTGCCTCTGCCTCTCTCTCTCTCTCTCTCTCTCTGACTCTCATGAATAAATAAATAAAACATTTAAAAAAAAAAAAAAGAAAAGTATATTCCCACTTAAAAATACTTCAGTGACCTAAAGACATTCCTAAGATTGCTATTCATCCTCTGAAGGAAAATCTGAGGTATGTGCTTTATCTTCAGAATAATGCACAAGTTTCTTAGCATGGCTTGGCATTCCCTTTGGGAGCTCCAGGAGCAAGCAGGGCCCTCAATTCTGCCCTCTTCCTTGTCTCCAACCCCTTCCTCAATGTATTCCCAGAGCCTTAGTAAATCACCTGCAATGCCCCCAAAATGCCATGCATCCCTTGACCTCGTCCTTTACGTAAGCCCCAAATCCACTCCTGCCCGATATGCCTGTCCAACCCCTTTCCTCCTTCAGGTTATCCCTTTAGACATCTCTTTTTGTAGCTTGGCTCAATTTCTCGGAGAGCCCTCATATAGATGCCTGTAGTGCCTTCATCCCTGGGAGTGTTTCCTGTCCACGCTTACCCTCTGAGCCTGGAAAACTGTCCCTCACACCCAGGCACCCGTGAGACACCTGATGAATGCTCATTACTCCAATTAAACCTGATATATCCTGATTAAAAGGAAGCTTCAAATCCAGGCCCTGTGAAACAGTCCGTACACGGTGCGTGAGACTTACCTGCTTCCGCATCACATCTGTGGCCTGCATGATGTAGCGAGGAGGCAGCCCGTGGCTTCGGGCCAGGATGATGGCCTGCTCCAGCGTCACGCTCAGGGTGCACCTGTGTGCAAAAGCAAAAGCAAGTCAAATGCCATGGGCTCCCATTAAGCACTTCAAAACAGTTTGGGTTACTAATGAAGAGGAGCAGAATATATTACCCCTAATCTCCCTCCTCAGAGAGTTACTCATTTTTCTTTGGGTATCCCCCATGTATTCAAGAGGTATACATGTTAATAAACTTCTGTTTGTTTTTCTCTTGTTAATCTGTCTTTTACTATAGGGGTCTCAGCTAAGAACTCAGAAGGATAGAGGGAAAATTATTTTTCCTCCCTCACACTAATTTCAAAATCAAAAAACGTTAGCCAAAATGGAAGCAGCCAGACAATGAACCATTGATTTTTCTACATAGAACAACTGTTTTTTGTTTTGTTTGTTTTTAGTAGGCTCCACACCCAGCACGGAGCCCAGTGTGGGGCTTGAACTCATGATCCTGTGATCAAGACCTGAGCTGAGATTAAGAGTCAGATGCTCAACCAACTGAGCCACCCAGGCGTCCCTAGAACATCTGTTTAAAAATAGTTTATAGAACTACATGAGTGGGGTCCTAAAACTCATAATGAACTATGTTTATGAAAGTTTATATACATACAATTAAATAAACAGAATTATAATAAAATCTATTATCAGATATTATTCTTCACTGGTATTTCATGTAATTTAAAAGAAAAGACTTCCTAATATTTTTCATACATGTCTACATGAAAGTTAATAGATTTATACTAATTTATGCCCAATAGCTTAGAAAAATAAATAGTGAAATTAATATTCACTATGATCAGAACTGATATTTAAAAAGTATGTTTCTTGGACCCAATCTAAAAGACTGTAAAAATTTCAAAAGGAGCTTTTAATTAGTTATACAGGAAAGTGATGCCCAGAGCAACCCTGAAAAAATTCAGAATTCAGCCCCTGAATTCAGTGATTGGTGTGCTTTTATCCTTTTTTTGCCTTCCCTTTTAAGGCATTTCTTTTACGTCCTTCAACATTTTTCTCTTTGGCAGCTCTTAGAGCCTACTTATTTGTTAACATTTTCAGGTGCTGGTCTCTGAATTGCTTTTTAGGGGTACCTTTTGCATACATTTCACTAAAATGTTCATTACTTTTAGATGTTTTGTGTAAAATTCATATGAGCAGACTTTCTTTTACTTTGCTTTTCAATTTATGGGTATTTATTCTGAAAAAGTTTTTTTCTATTTTTGCATTTACCTCCCTGTAGTTTGGTAGTTTTTTACACATGTATGTCTCTAGGTCTGTTCAGTTTTTCCTTGCAAATGAAAGGTCTGCAAGGCAATTGCTTCTATGTGAGGAATATCTAACTCACTTATCCCTGGTTGGGAGGCTGTACTACGGAAGTCCAACATGTCTGCTAGATTTTGATACTGATGAATTAAGAAAAAGAGGAGTAAGGGGCTTTAAACGTTACTGCTGAAATTTTAGAAAGAACCTGACGTGTAATTGTATTATTATGCATCATCGGATTCTAAGGAGAAACCTGTTAAGTTTCATTGGCTGTTCAATGACCTGACAAGCATTAACATGACACAGAACTCTTTACAAAGCATTAGTAATACATAGTCTGATGGCCTGAAGTGTTACAGTTAGCTTTTGGTAGTATGTGATATTTACAAATATTTAGTGTAGGAGTCTGATAACAACAGATACTTGTTGTTTTACATGCCCCTGCATGCCCTAGAAAGCCAAGGAGTACAGTTGACAGTTCACGCTTAAAAAATCAATTTTTCACAAAGCATTTAATTGTCAGCTTCCTTGACAGACCATAACCTTTTTTTCCTCCTTACGGCCTCTACTCCAATTTTAGGTCCTTATTGATTCTAAAACACTTTAATCAATAACACTCATTACACTAGCTGAATGACACTCAGAAAAAAAATCTTTATTTTTTTCTAATCAAACTGAAATATGTCTGTTCTTCTAGATAAAACATGACTTGCCCTCCTTTGCTTATAACACTTACTTGTTGTGAAGAATTTTTAACAAGCAGCCTATAATTTTTATCCATTTTAAAAATCTTTTTAAATGGATTTATTTCTCCCTACTTCGAGCTGTAATAAACAACAGTACAGTAGCAAATTATCTGCCAGAGACTTTAAAAGATTTTACTGTAATCTCCCGATCAATCAGCATGGCCAGTACCACGCTCTCTGAGAATGTACCTCAAAGTGTAATTTTTTAAACCAATCACACATGCATCACCTAACAGAAAAATCTACCTTAAAATGGATGTATATGCTTTCTTTCACTACTATTTCCAAAACAGATGGCTTTGTCTACCTATATCTGCCTGACCATACTAACCACTGTGTATGTTCCAATTAGGTCCCAAGATTAATTTGAAATTTTTAAAAAGTGAAACATTTAGGGGTGCCTGGGTGGCTCAGTCAGTTGGGCATCTGCCTTCGGCTCAGGTCATGATCCCAAGACCCTGGCAGGGAGCCTGCTTCTCCCTCTTCCTCTGCCTGACCCTCCACCTCGTTTGTGCTTGCTCTCTCTCTCACTCCACTTTCTCTCTCTCAAATAAATAAATAAAATCTTAAAAAAAAAGTGTATTTAAAAAGATATAACGAGGTCAATGTGGGAAATAACTGCCTGTGTTTGATTCATAGTTTACTTGTCCAACAGAGGCCTACCTTTTCCCTCACAGCATCACAGGATCCCATCCTCATGAATTAAGCATGTGGAAGAAAGCTCAGCACTAATACAAAACTTTGCTGTTAATATATCACTATTTGCTTCCTAGCTTCTTCTCTTCTCTCAGCTATATTAATCAGAATGTCAAGTGGAAATATTTAGCATTTGCAAGAAGCATTCTGATTCTAGCATTCTCTGAAAGATTCCAGATCCAGAGAGTGGCACATGGTTTTTCAATAGTGCATAAAGGGATACTCAGAATCAGGTTTTACAAGAGATCATTTGGTTTTATAGGTACTTCGGTGATTACCAGTGAGACAGCTCTGCTAACTCTGGACAAAAGAATGAAGGAGCATTAGGAAGGCTGGGAATCCCAGGCAAATCTATTCAGTACAAGAGTTCTTATCTGACCCACCAATTTCCTTGCTAGCACTATCTCTGTTTTCATATTAGACAGTTAAATTAAAATTTAAAGAAATCTATATTTTGGCCCCATCCTGGAAAATATGGACCTTGGTTTTTAGCTCCTTCTAGGTGCAGTGTCATTTTTAAAATTTAGACAACTCTTCCCCTGGGAGTCACAAAATAAAAAAATAAAGGTCACAGGGTAGACTTTGTCCTTTATAAAAAGGCATAACCGTGTATATAACATATACACTGAAGAAAGTTTTTCCCTAATTCGAGTAGTAAGACATTCCAAGTAATAGCTCTGCTTAGGGCATACTCCTGAGAAAATGTACTTAACAGAGCTATAAAATTATGCAGAAATTGTGAATTTACCCACAGAAAGAAAAAAGAAAGGGCCAATATATCTGTGCTTATGATGAATAAATCTTCTTGACATATTTTGTATTAAGAATAGATCCCACATCACATCAGAGATTTAGCAGTTTTAATATGATAAATGTAACCTGTGGTTAATGGGTCCAATTTAATTTGAAAGGCACTTTGATTTAGCATTGCTATGGAAGAGTCACAAAGAAGTAACTTTTATTCATTCATTTACTCACTCAACAAATATTTTTTGAGTGTCTACTTTGTACCTACAAGTTCCATTAGATGCTGTAAGAAGTGGATTTGCTATCAAGCTAGAAAAGGTTGATAGTCAGCGTCCCTCACTTGTATGGATCCCTAGCAAATTGTTCACATAGCCACATGCTTTTCTAAATTTGCGAAAGCAAAATGTTTTAACTGCAAATAATTATGACTGCTGTCTTGACCATGTCTATCCCAACTTCCCTCTGTCGTGTTCTGGAGTGCTCAAATGGCCATGATTATTTCTGGAACTGAGCTAAAGGACGTAGAATTATGGTGCACTTAGGCTAGGTTGACTGGAACCTATGTATATGATTTACGGTCACTTCCATTTATAGTTAGGTTATTTTTATGATCTTTTTTTTTTTAAAGATTTTATTTTTAAAGTAATCTCTA